TAAATCGGGGTCCCGTTCCTCAATATAAAATAGATTAACGGTGTTTCTCCCCGAGTCATGACCGGACTGGGTACAGAATAGTACGTACACCCTACTCCGGAGTACATATCTACGGTGTAGGTAGTGTGAGTGACTAGAGGCGTTGAGCCGTTGACCGTCAATCCAGGAGGAAAAGATTTAGACGGGAAAAAAAAGGGGGGGAGGGATGATGAGGCAAATTGATGAGCTGACCTGACTCAAGTTCAATCGACCGTTTTTCGTTTTTGCCTATATTGATTGGTAGAGAGGCGGGATGGGGAAGGGGAGTTTAGGTAGGTACGGCGCAGAACTTCCTAGGCTAGGTAGGAGAGGGGCAAAGGTAAGCTCCGTCATCAGGATCGATTCGATCATCGACATCGAGACGCGGTGCGCATTCAACCACGACTTGATTCACCAACGATGTCGAATGAAGATCGCACGCCTGGGAAACCCATGAAGTGACTGTCATGATTTAGACTGTAGGTGAGCCGGAGATGATAACCGGATCCGGTACTAACCGACCCCGAAACGGTAGCGCGGAGGGGTCGGTTAGTTGGTTGGCTGTTAGCTTAAATTTTTGACGGTTTTTCCTTTTTCTCAACTTTTTCCCCTTGCTCTTTTTTCTTTTTTTCTTTTTTTTTTTCCTGTCCCGGCTCCGCTTCTTGTCGATGAACTAGTGGTTTTTAGCGCGACTTTGACGCTTCCCGTACCCGTTGCTGAGGATTGTCGATTGTTTCTTCTGTGGCTGGGCATGCCATCCGAGGTATTCCCGTCGTATTTCGAAACTACCCTTGAGATACCTACTCCGTACTCTGTAAATGATTATAATATCGTTGCATATAGAAGACAGATCTGTTAAGAGCTGTAATTATAATAGTTTGGTATTGTTTTCCCTGCCGAGCGTTTGCGTTCGGTATGGTATGGCACCCGTTATGTACAGTCTATACATACACAGTAGATTCGGTACCTAGCTCTATCGTTGTTTAACAACATCTTGGAAATTTGGATATGCTCAGTATACTGAGCTCTTGTATATGAGTGGATATCTGGTTTCTCTGCTGCATTGTGCATGTTGCAGATTGTAGATTGCTCATATTTCGAGGCTCTCAGGTGATAAAGTGCACGATGTATGTATCTGATATACCGCGACCAATATATATAGAGAGTGTTGTGATATACATCTATACATCTACAGTTTCAAAGTCCTTTCCAAGTAACAACACCCCGAAAAGTAATCCCACTCCCTGTATTCCTAACCCCGAACCTATCACATGGTCAGTAAAGAACAAGTAGAATGAACGAATACCCTCCGACAAAGAAAGCTAAATCCGGCCGACACAGTACAACTAAGCTCAGCGTAGATGCGCATTACTTATGCTGCATCACCCAACCACCCAACCGGAAGCCAACGAGCAAAAGTACCGTGCCTACATATTTTCTACCTAGCTAGCACATCCAGTCTGTACATAACTATTACGTTTACGTAGGATTGGGATACCTACATACTCCGGTGTACATATTGGTAAAATACTGTAGCAACTATATGTAATGCACTTTACACTCCCTAGGAATTGGAGACCGATGGGATTGAAATATTACCTTACCCTCAAATATACCTCCTCTTCCTGGCCATGTACATACCTACAGTATGTGTACTCCGTATTTACTCTACATACGGAAGGAAGCTATGGTGCGACAAAGCTGACGAACTCATGTATGTCCTCGCAGCAAGAATTGTCCAACCGGCTGCGTTCCGCGGATACCGTGCTGTACGGAGTATGAGAAATGCAGGACCAGACACCTAAAGTAAAACAAACCTTTGCTCTGTGTTGAGTCGGACCAAATCGCTCGGATTCCTGGCATCTCCTTCCTTTGTCCATCAGAGTTTCAATTGATGCCGTTTGTAAAACCTTCTTCTACTTACTACTACCTTGCTACGGTGCACATACCTGTGTATCCCTCCTACCTGCCCTCGTATGATAACATGATATAACGGACGGAGTTTACCACGCCCACGGACAAGGACACGACCGACTAAAACCGCGCCCGTTCCACGGAACCCGCGATCCAAAAATATCCCAGCACACGTGGACAGAACGGTAGAACCAAACCCGGAGATCAGCCAAATTGTAAATTTAATTAAACAGTGAAAATCCTGTAATATGGTCCCCGATAGGATTAACTGTCATCCTTCTACGGAGGATATTTAATTAAACCTTTAAAATAGATAGACAGAAGATGAAGAGAGGGGGGCAAAAAAAGGGCCCCATTCAGCCCATCGCGAAAGCTAGGTAGCTAAACTTGCTCGAAATGCCCATGATCAACAAATCAGAGGCCATCTAATTTGATTGATTTGAACGATCGCGGCCGGCCGGCTCCCTTGTCGATTGGATTCTTCTCCCGTTTAAATTAATTAGCTAGCCGATCAACTGATTTTTAGCATCCGTACCTTTTCTCTTTACGGTGTATGTTCAGTCTTCAGTCATCATTAACCATCACTATGTGGTACTGCTTCTCCGGCGTAGAACATCCTAATCATGGCACCTGCCTAGTAGAGTATAGACCAAGTAGCTTCAATTAGTTATTGATTGACCCTCGTACGGACAACGGAATTCCACTCCCCTTACCAGATCAACTTCTAGAACGCCCAGCTTGCTCTAATTGGGTCGTTAAATCCGTCGTACCATGGTTCAGCAGATCGCACGATATTAATTTTATTCATGCAACTGGACCTGCACTGACTTGACTATTGCTTTTCGGAAATTCAATTCAATATACACCAAACGGAGTATGTGTTTACAATCCCACAGCGCTTACCGAGGGAATGGTTAACGGATCCGATGGGTATAACAACCTATTTACTACAGTAACCTTACACCGTACGTATGTAGAACTACGGGCGTAGTTAGGTGACAGTAGCACAGTTCTGTTATTAATGGGTACATTTCCGTGGGCAAAAATCCGACTTTGCCGATTGGTTTGTTTTCAAGCGTTCCCTTTACTAGGTTGCCACACTACCAGCCAGTGTTACATATCATTACATCGGTGGTGGTATGTATCTTTGTATGTATCCATTGTATGTATATATATACCGAGGGTCTAGCTAGTTTTTGGTAAGGTTATTGTCGCACATAGGGTACCTAGATACCATGCCATGCTCTCCGTAGGAATGCCGAACCTATTTATTGATACACTGTGCTCCGTACTTAGAATTGATCATGTCGAAGTTCAGGTGTATTGTAGACCGAGAAAAGATAATTACGTACGAGGAGACAGAGTAACTTCCTACTTACCCAGTTAGTCAGGTCATACTCCATAGGTACTAATGGTCCATGACAGGTGACATCCGAACATGACAGTTGACAGGTTGACTAACCGGGGCACACGGGGCAGGGGCAAAACACAATAGTACTACTAGTAAAAAATCAAAATTCACTAACAGCAAATTCTGAAATAAAAAACGAAAGAAAAGACAAAAGAAAAAGAAAAAGAAAAAAATAATGGAGCCATCTGTTGTTGACCCCGTAAGTGGCATCTTCTTAGACCCCTGTCATCCCATGGGTTGGCAGGGGTGGATTTTCACCCCGATGGCTGGAACAGGAACAGTTTGAACCTAGGGACTAGATACTTCCCCATCGTATGTGCTGTTCTGTAGTAAGTTTATAACTAGTATCGGGATCTGGGTGTGGATAATTGGATATACGAAGACCTTTTCCACAGGGAGGTCCAGAATCCCAGATAGCTAGCCTCTACCATGGTCGTTGAGCAACTCTCCCCATAACTCCGATCCGAACAAGGCAAATGGGGTTGCAAAAAGTTTACTACGGATACTGCGTAAGTCGAAAATCAGGCGGAGTATCCGTACACACTACACAAGCCAGGGAGTCCAGTCCTACGGACTAGGAAAGCTAGACAGCCCCTATATTCACTAAAGTTTAAGTGGACTGGCCGGAGTGACTAAGTGGCACTGGCACTGGCACTGCAGTGTGCACTATCGCTCGGTCTATCTAACTTATGTTACTGTATCTTGGATAAGATGGTTATTAGTCCGAGGTAATCTTATGATTTTGATCGAGATCCTCCCTCCCTCTTTTTCTTGGCTGGGTCGTGGGCCATCCCTTCCACCCCCCTGTCAGTATTAATCTATTTAACTTCTTTAGAAATCGGACTACTACTATATATAAATCGGAGGATGCTGCTGATGATGACATCGGTCCTATGTGCGATAGATTAATATGAATGACAGGATCGTAGGGATTAGCTACACTAGTAGTGCACAGTACGGAGTAGTGTTGGAGAGAGAAGAAAAGCAAAGAAATCGGACTAAGGCCTGTTGGGGGTTCTTCCCCGATGCGGGAACTTGTGGGTTCGGCATTTGCTTTGCTGTTGCCTCTTTTCCCTTTCCAGAGTGTTCAGATCCCGTATAATGGATTATTGCCCTCAATGTCTTGGTTGCCTTTCCTTTCATCTTTTCTTTTTCTTCTTGATTTTCATTTCTTGGGGTTAGGGCCATGGCTTTACAAGTGGTAATTTTAATCGGGAATGCTGAATGCTCCCACGCCACCCCAATACGGAGTAAGTAAATTCAGTAAACAGTAAAGTGATTGTGACTGACTGTGATAGGACTGTACAGAGACACAGACAGACAAAAAAAAAAAAAAAAAAAAAAAAGAAAAGAAAAGAAAAAGAAAAAAGCCACTTGCTGTCGTGTACGGAGTATGATGGGTACAGTAACGAACCCCTGTAAATAAGGATCTTCGTCTTTTTTCTGTCTCTGCACAAACGACCATGGAGGATCGCGCGGGAACATTTCTCCGACCCGCATGTCGTCACGCTCGTTCTGCGATCGAGATAACCGGTTTTTTCTGATGTCATGGTTCCTCGCGACGATGAGGTTGTATTGAGATTGCGATGAGAGAAGCAAATGAAGGAAAAGAGTGACTTCACGAATTTTTCCACCCTTCTTGACCCCCGACCCCACCTCATCGCCAGTATCCCCTCGCTTTCGAATTGATGTAATCGATGGCTTCCTTGCGCCACGTGTCCGGCTCCAGGGAGCTCGTCACCGTCGCATTGTTAGCATCAAACAGCAGATCGACCGGCGCCTCGGAGCCCCCCCCGTACGCCGTCCAAAGCGAATCGTTGATGCCCGAATTCGGGTCCAGATCGTGGATAAAAGATGCCCACATGCCCGTCATCTGTTTGCTCAGGGCCCGGAACCCCTTGGGCACCCCTGCGAACGGCTTCCCGTAGTGGTACCCAAGCCCCGCGATGTTGTGGAAGACAAAGGCCACCTCCTCGAAGTGCGTGGCGCCCTCGAGATACGGGACCGATGCGCTGCGGACGTTGAATCGATAGCAGTACGCCGGCGTGGAGGTCTCGGTCCACGCTTCGCACTGTCGTCGTCGGTTGGCGTGCATCGAGAGGTCGCCTGCGTAGGCCGACGTGCGTCGCCATTGGTACCCTCTCGATGGCACGCGCTGGGCTCCTAGAGATGCTGGAATGCCTTGGATGGGGTCGTCGGGGTATAATTCGAGGATCCGGTTTGCCATCGACGGGGGCAACTTGAATTCGGACGCGCCATCTAGTTGATCGAGATAGGTCGGAGATTAGCTAGAGTTTCTTTTTTCCCCCCTCTTCCTTGTTGTTTCCCTATGGCTGGGCTTGGCCGCAGGAGGAAAGCAAGGCCAGGCGGGAATGAAATCTCATATAAACTGCATGCATGCTTGCTTACCTGTGAGATACGAGTAGAATTCTGCAGTCGTGTTGATTCCCGTAGGCCCGAATGCAGTCCCTTCGTCGGTATTGGTGCCAGCGATGATGGGCACGCGCACGAATTCATGCTGTTGTAGATGCACACTGCCCCAGGTTCTTAGTAGATCGCCGTCCACCACTGGCGAGAATTTGTATGCCGGACTGCCGTCCGTGCCATTGAGTGCCGAGTTTAGTTCCTCATAGGGAACCTCGCGCAGGCATTGTAGCGTGTCCGCCACGCCCGAGCAGTTGACTTTCGATACCAAGTCATCGTACAGATCCTGGTAGCCCGTGTAGTTGGACGGACCGGCCGCGATCGATCCCCCGGACTGCATGATTGCCCCCCTGAATAGGCTATCGTTTCTTCCGCCATACGCGGTCAGATGGTACCCAACCGACATCGCTCCTGCAGATTCGCCCCAGATCGTGACCTTGTCCGGATCACCGCCAAATGCCTGGATGTTCTCGCGGATCCACTGCAGGGCTAGCCTCTGATCCCGGAGACCGAGATTGGTGTTGCCGCTACCGGCGACTTCGCTGGAGCTTAGGAATCCCCATGCCGAGACCCGGTAGTTGAGAGTCACGGCGATGAAGGGTTTGCCTGCTCTCGGTGGTCAGTCTCGCGCTTGACTTGGCGCTTAATCTGCGTCTATGGGGCGTCTGAGCTCACCGATTTCATACGAGTTAGACACGATCGCGGACATGTTATACCGCTGGTCCGCGCCAGAGCCCTGGTAGAAGCCGCCGCCATGAATCCAGACGCCGACAGGGAGTTTGGAGTCTTCTTTCACCGAAGAATCGCGAATGACGTTGAGAGTCAAACAAGCTTCGGACTGGGAATACCAGATGGAATCGGTCTAAACATGTCGACAGTCAGATCAATGATTACCTTTTCGAAAGAATCAACTAGCGATAGGACAGACTTACTCCATATCCCACGCAAATATCAGAGTACTCTTTCGCGTCGCGCGCATCTCTCCAGGTTTCGTTGAGAGATTTCGGCACAGTGAATCTCAAATCGCCTACCGGCTGCTGGGCATACGGTATCCCGAGGAACAGATCTTGTCGATAGTGCGCGTTCTTCGCCCCGACATACGTTCCATTGCGGACATGGATTTTAGGATCCGGCGTGCCGCTCGGGGCAGGGGCAGCCGTCACAGCACTCCACAGGGCACAAAGACTAACAAGAGTCCTATACATGATCAAGGAGACAAATATGACTGAATCCAGCAACCTTTCTCGACCGGTCCCATCCCCTCAATATATATAGGGGGAAGGAAATGGTCACACAATGAATGCGGGGACTCCACATTTCCCCCAACCCGGTCGTGGACGCGGACATTCTAAGCCTCGTCTCGTCTCACTGGACGCTGGAGAATTAATTCAGCCGAAAACAGGATAGAATCATTGCAGGATCCGTCCATTCAATGAGGTTTTTTCCCCTCTGCCGCTCCGGACAACGACCGATGCCTCGGCTTAGCTGCCCCATAGTGGGAACTACTCCGTAGCACCTCCCCAGGGGGTTATCCGGGGATAACGATGCAGTGCGGGGAACAACTGCCCTTCTTTTTCTTCTTCTTCAGCAATGGTTGCCAATTCAAGGCACGATTGTCGGTGGTCAATGTGGAGAAAACGTTTTCGTGGGGCGGGCTGTGTCTGTCGTCATGGCTTTTAGGGATATGCCGCTTTTCCTGCCTGCCATGGTTGCGCTTGTGCCGTGGATGTGCCGAAGATTTGCCGGTAGATTGGAATTTGTCCGTGATGTAGAGGAGCAAGTGAATGGGTTGCGTTTGATTGGTTTGATGATGAAAAAAGACATATTGGAGGGGTTATGCGTCAGTTAATGTTGTGAGGCTAAAAGGTGGGTTGGGTTAGTATAGGGTGCTATTTGATTTGGCTAACATGGGTACAACATACATAACATACATAGGAAAGAAACAGAGACTTATTGGTTAAGGATGCCACAGTAGACGAGATTCAAGCAATACGATCACAGAGTGTTTGAATGAAAGTTGGAGTGTCAAGAAGTGGATGGGAGAGAAATCAAGGCGAGAAAGGGTTCTTGACCGCCAGAATACCTCCCCCTGCACATGCATGCGCGCCAGCCATTTCCTACTGCACATCACTCCTCTATGACACAACACCATAATTCCAGTTCCACACTTGTATTCGATCCTTCTAGACAATATTCCTGTGTATCAATTGCCCCACGCTACTCATATCGCGACCTAGTCTTGAATTCACATGCCACGATGCCAGTACTAGCAGTCCTCCCACCCGCTAGTCTAGCTTACGGTCATACAGGAATCTGGTTTGGAAGGGTTTCACAAAAATCATCAATTATTAAGTTCTATCACAGCCGTCTTGGGTGTTCCAGACGATTTGCTAGGAAATCAAGGAGACGGAGTCAACATGTCATCATGGATCTAGATCTCGGCCGACGCGATTCGTTCGTGTTAGGCATATTGCATGCTCTTTCGCAGATTGGGCCATGATTATTTCTGTATCGCAGCTGGTTCCTGAAAGTGTCACACAGGCCCGACCCTTCCTATAATGTTACATCGGGGTCTTTATATTCCTTGCACCGACCGTCGCGAGGTCATACTGATTCGGGAGTATTGCAACGGTGGCACTCATCTAGATGTTCCTTTTCCTGATGGTATATCCTCATATCGTGTCGAGAGAGGGCATCAAGAGTACGGAAAACTGTTTGTTTGAGGCACCAGAGCAAAGGGCCATAGCCTATCCAGGTCCAGACCGCAGGGTGATTAAGGGGGAAAGGAGCAGTTCGAACGTTTCTTATCACTTGAAGAAGCACCATGTCATCGGAAGACTGCATGCCAAGTGGGGTCTTCAGCAAGAATGCTCCTCATATATGTAGGTGATATCTGTTATGGAGAGAAAAATTCATCTGCAAGCTTCAAACTGCCGATTCCGCGATCCAGCAAAAGAGATCGACCAACTCTCCTCCTCCCACGTTCGTCTCAATTGCCTTCTCGAGTCATCGTGTACCTGAAAGATGTGGTGGACTCCAGCAACCCAGCCTCCTCCACTGACAACCTTGCCGCCGCCCTCCTCAGATGAAATCGAGGCGATAATTTCCGTCACCAAGGGTTTTCTTGCCGCGTTGAACACAAAGTCCTCGGTCGAGTTTGACAAATACTGCGTTCGAGCAGGAGGGATGGCCCTCTGGCCGCCACCTCCTACACTCCCTCGGTTTTGCACAATCGGTGCTTTTGTGGAACAGATCGCGAAAGTGAGGGACGATATCGATGAACGGATCTGGGATCTAGAGGTCAAGGCGTATGGCTTGGGAAATCTTGCCGCCGTGTGGGCTCCGTTCAGGGCGAAGATCAATGGAATCGTGGATCATGTGGGCGTCGAGCTCTTTATTCTCCATAAAGTGAATGGGGAATGGAAAGTGACGGGGTTGGCCGATTCTTGTCGATTTCCCACGGAGGAGGAGAAGCAATTGCTCCGGTAGATTGGACACTGGATAGTTGTTTCCCAGAAATAAAAAAAAATTTGAAAGGAAAGGACAATGCCGGAATAAATTACTAAGGGATAGGGGCTAATGGATATAAACAAGATAGCCAAACTATCACGGAGACGATATAAAACAGAAAGAAGCATGCTGTCTAGAAGCAAAACCGACGCCTCCACTCTAACGGATAAAAGCAAGTTTTTCAACTCTATTTCTTACCCCTTAGTAGCTCCCATCCGACACTACCATTCTTTCCCTCCTTTACAGACATCTCCTCAACAGCCTTGACAAGATCAAAACAGATCTCTTCAGGAACCGCACTGTCATGCTTATACGCGGGATGCGATGCAACAAATTCACGAATCCATCGAGCCCCAGTCCAGAGAGTTCCATTAGCCCGTTTGCGTATCAGATCGAGGTATCGTGCCAGGAAGCAACGCGTCTCGACATCTACATTGACACTGTTGAGATATGACTCAACCAGCGGAATAAGTCCCGGGAACGACCCATCCTCCGAGCCGTTGACAATGTCAGAGATAGTCATGAGGTCGTATTCCGACTCAACCGGACCAAGTGGGGGCGAAGGAGGGGGCGTATTGCATGCAGACGATGTAGCGGACGACATTGCGCTTCCAGTGGCTGAATGCCGGAGAGGGCCCCGAGTGAAAGGGTCCTTTCGGAAATAAAACTTTCGATCATGGACGGCGTTGCGCGCATGGGCCGTTTCCATATTCTCGGTGGTTCGTGGGATGGGAAGGTAGAAATTCAGATTGAAGCTTAGGATGGCACGAGTGATAAGCACGATGAAGATGCTGAATGCCGCATTTTCGAAGTCAGTCATCTGAATCTCCATTGAGCGGAATTCAACCCGCCAACCAATATCTTCCTTATCAGGTGGCGGCGGCTTGAAGCGCATGTGTTGCCAATTAGTCGACTGCAGATTTTCGAAGTGGTCTGCTTTGTTCAAATCCAGTTCCTCAAGGTCTTCAGAAAATATAACCAATGGATCACGGATGAAGAGATGAGCAAAATGCGTGGCTAGAAGATCGTCCATTCCGCCCTCCATCAATCGATTTTTAATGTCTTCATCAACGATCAAGTCGGGGTCCAGATATTCCTTCCGTAGACGAGGATCTTGAGAGATATAGGTCGAGTTCGAGGCATATCTTGACTTAGGAATCCTCCATCTATCGTTCTTTAGGGGCTGTTTGTGAGTGTTAGCATTAGAACAGCATTTGGACCCATTGCACGACGGCTTACAGCTTCACCAAGTTCCTCTCGTGTTCTATCATCTACGGAATTGCCGATCTGGTTCCACCTGACGTCCGTGTCGACGAGGAATCCCTTATAGATGGGGGTTGCCGCAGTAAGAGCCAGGAGGATAGGACCCAACGGGCTCAGTTGATCATATAGTTTCCTTCCCTCAGTCATATTTTTGGCTTGGAAGGTAATCTGGAGACAGCAGCTGCCCATTCCAAAAGCCATGGCGTCCATATAAACATGGTCGTCCTTTGCAGCTCCATTCCTCACGTCGTCATCCTCAGGCCAAATATGAAGATCATAATTGACCGTAGGATCTTTGAAAGGCTGGGGAGTGTTTTTGTCCTTGAATACAGGGACATTAAGCTCAACCTTCCGGCCTCTCCTGGATCTGATATTTCCTGCGAGAGTCGGGAATCTGATGTGGGGATTAGCGATCTCATCAGGAACAAACTGCGACCGCAATGCCGGGCCTGATGGAGGATAATATGGCTGAATGTAATCATCCTTCGTGCCCAAGCGAGGAAATGTGGTTAGAGTAATGGGGTATTCATTTGGTGCCATGTGGGTTTTGGCAACCTCTCGCCTGGCAAAATAACATTAGAATCCGGTGCACATATATGCTGAACGCAGCCGAACTTACCTCCATTTCATATTTGACTCAACCTTAAGAAGATCCTTGAAATCAATGCCCCATGGTCTTCCCGGGGTTGCTTCAAGCATGAAGCGTCCGAATTCTGGATGGAAATGAGGGGGCTCTTCGCCGTCACTAGGATTTGACTGTCAGAGAGATATAAGAATGGTCATTTCATCTCTGACTTACTGTTCATTGTTCTGACTCTGAGGTGAATCTCCCGTCTTCCACAAGGCCTCATCCCGAGCGAGAGACTTCAAGATTTCTGCTTGTGCCAGGGACAGCCGAGCCTTCTTCGCCTCCTCGTCCACGGCCACGACGAGGTACTCAACCTAAAGAGGCAGCAAAGCGTCAGTCGGAGAGCAACCTGTGTTTAGACACATGCGAATTACCTCATCACCCCACAGGAGAGCATCTCGCTCCTTTCCTCTGGCTCTCTGCCAATTGGCAAGCAATTGCTACGTGATGTTAGTCAGGTTCACAGAAGGAATGCCAGTGCCAAATCCTACCTCAATTCCCCATTTCCGTACTTGATCAGCCCGCTTTTTGGCCTCAGGCCAATCAAGAGCCGTACCTAGTGCTCTTCATAAACGGCTGATGTTAGGGGTACTCGCTCAGCAATGGTTTAAGCCAGATCAACATACAAAAGACCCATTATTTCACTCTCAGCACGTTTACAGAGATGATTATATGCAGAGAAAACCTGGCGACTGTGACTTATTTATACGAAGTCCTCGTCAAAGCCAGTCCACCTGAGAGCCCCACGGAGATGAGGGGGGAAGAATCTGGTGGCGGACCGCGCGCCGAGTTTTATAGACGTGGAGAAAGAACCAATCTCCCAAGGATCAGCGAGCAGACAAGACCAGTAGGGACAGGCAATTGCCAGCAGACAATGAAGGAATGTGCAAGAGAGGGAAAGAGAAAGGAATTTGCCTCCTCATGGGGTGATTTTATGCTGATTTTCGCGGAGGCTTCGACATCGCCGATTGGGCGGCTGGTGGGGGTTTTGGTAGCGGGGCATCCGAGCATTATCGCCGATAACGAAGGAATCGCGGCGTTTGATTTCTAAGCCGGTGTCGGTCATGTGACACATTCTCCCTTGCGGATGTCCTCCCGCCCGGGTTTACTTGCGTTCAGCACGTAGGGATCGTGTATGACACGCCGCTTCCCTGGCGAAGATTCAAAGACCGGATTTGTCATATCTCACACCGTGAAACACGCATCCCGGAAATGCTATTTCTACCTAGTGCATGGGGTGGGAAATATGGACGCTGACAAATTGCGCAGTGCCCGTTGGCTGGCGTCTTAGCTTACTGTGGGGGAGATCTTGAGTAGACCGACCTATGCCTACACATCTCACCATGATACAGAAGGACAATGACCGCCGAGGACTACGAAGAACACGGATACTCAACCGGCTCGTGTTCAGAGGGCCGATGGTGTAGTATCGGCAAGCTTGAACGCGAAAGGATCCCAACGCCAACAATCGGTGCATGGACAAACAATCTCAGAATCTCTATGTACATAACTCGCTATTTCGTTCGTTTCGAATGCACATGCCGATGCAATGCCCTCAGTTGCTCCGGGCGCCATCCTTAGCAGCTCGCAGCTCGTCCATCTTGGCAACGCGCTTCTTGAATTCGTCGTACTGGCACTTTTCGTAGCTGTGTCTCTCATCCTGTAGCGATAGTGAAAAGAAAACTGTCAGCTGCTTGTAAATAATATTTTGAAGGCGCGAGCAGTATGACAAAGAATGATAGCAAGGATAGCGGGAGACAATAACGGTAGAACGCTCAGATCGCAAATGTCATACCTCGCACTTCCAGGGAAGGTAGTACTCTTGCTGCCGGCACCGGTTCAAGGGGATCAGAAGGTGTGCACAAGTGTCCCGGTACTGGATGGGGAGTTTGGCGTCGGACATCTCCTGCCGGGAAGCTATCTCGCAATGTCAGTCGGTGTCCCAAGCAAGACCATGGTAATGCCCTCCCACGGGGTTCTGGGAGAGCCAATGGCAAGTGAAAACGTACCAGTGGTATCTGCGAGCCCGACGGCACTCTTAACCGATTCGGCGACGGTCATGTTGGCGTGAGAAAGGGGGGTTGAGTATCGATCGTTCTGACGACGGGGACATCCGACAACGAGGTTTGCAGCTATTCGGTAGTGCTGGTCTTCCCTGCGGTCCGGAGTCATGTGACATCACGTGGTGAGTGACCCGAAGGCGGACTAGCGGCGCTAATTCCACTTTACGCGGTTCCGTCAATCCAGGGCGCGTCTTGCCCAGTCCTGCAAAGCACCGCGTCACTGCGATAGAGCCTATGAAGAAGCCACTCGTGGCTGTGGTCGATTCATTATCTTGTTGAGCTGGTGCTGAAATCATATTTATTAGGCTCGTCTCTCGTCCACCACTGTTGATGCCTAGAAGCAAGTGAGTCTAGGCTATTGGATTGCAGTGTGAAGCCGCCATCGCGTCAACACCTGCTGTTACTGTCCGGGAATCAACTGAATTAAACCCGGCTTACGGAGACGCACGCACATCATGGCGGGGGTGGACTTTTCAAAGATCTACTCTGCTACTTATAGCAGTGTGAGTTTTCCCCTTTTTTGACTTTTCCTTCTTTTCCCTCATTTCCCGGGGCGAGATATCACTAAAAAGAGCGCCGATCCCGACGTACAATCTTCAGAAGACTAACACTCACCAATTAGGTCCCGGTTTATGAATTCAAGATAGATACGGACAGTGTTATGCGAAGAAGGGGAGATGATTGGATTAACGCAACCCATATTCTCAAGGTTGCTGGATTCGACAAGCCGGCACGAACCCGTATTCTCGAGCGTGAAGTACAGAAAGGAGTCCATGAGAAAGTCCAAGGTGGTTATGGTAAATACCAAGGTATATGAATCAGAGACATTCAGACTTGGAGGCTTTTTATTGCTAACACAATAGACAGGAACGTGGATTCCACTTCCCGAAGGTCGTATGCTTGCGGAACGCAACAACATCATTGATAAACTGCGGCCGATCTTCGATTATGTCGCGGGTGATCGAACCCCCCCACCTGCGCCGAAACATACATCCGCAGCTTCATCACGACCCAGGGCCCCGAAAAATGCCAATAAGAGAGTCACGAGCGAAGAGGTCTTCACTGCGGCTAAGCCACCTCGTAGTATGGGACCGCCGCCGACCTTTACTCACGATCATTATGAGATGAACCCAGCGTTCGATGAAGATGAATCGATGGAGCAAAAAACGTTGGATTCTTCTTCCATGGTGGCGGATGAGGAAATGATGTCCATGTCACAGAATGGACCATACTCCCGAAAGCGCAAGCGTGGTATGAATGAGGTCGCTGCGATGTCACTCAGCGAACAGGAGCACATTCTTTATGGAGATCAGCTTCTAGATTACTTTATGACAGTGGGAGATGCTCCGGAGGCGACGCGTGTGCCTCCCCCGGAACCCCCAGCCAATTTCCAGGTTGATCGTCCAATCGATGACTCGGGAAACACGGCACTTCATTGGGCTTGCGCAATGGGCGATTTGGAAATAGTAAAAGATCTACTGCGGAGAGGCGCGGATGTCAAGGCACTATCAGTGCATGAAGAGACCCCGCTTGTGCGTGCTGTCTTGTTTACGAACAATTATGAAAAGCGGACATTCCCAGCACTGTTGGAACTCCTGTTGGATACTATCTCGTTCAGAGACTGGTTCGGTGCCACCATCTTCCACCATATCTCAGAGACCACCAGGAGTAAAGGGAAGTGGAAAAGCTCGCGGTATTATTGTGAGGTACTCCTGGAGAAGCTGCAAACCACATTTTCCCCGGGTGATATCGACCTGTTACTGTCTTTTCAAGACTCGAATGGAGATACGGCCGCTTTGGTCGCTGCTCGGAATGGTGCATTTCGCCTGGTGAACTTGCTATTTACGCACTGTGCGCGGGCCGGGGACTTGATTAACAAGAAAGGCGAAACGGCGGCAAGCCTTACGCAAAGGGCACACCATTCTGAGCGGGACATCCCGCCTGCGCCTTCGTCCATCACAATGGGAAATGATCACATCGATGGTGAAGCAAATGGCCCAGTCAACTCCGATCCTCAGTCTGTTGCTCTGCCACAGGAATCGTCTGCCGCCACGTCGGCGCTCTTGTCTAAAATCGGTGTCATCATGGCCGAGGCAAACAAGAAGCTTGCAGTGAGTTACGGAAGCTCCAAGGCCAGCCAGCAAGACTCAGATGACGTCGCGAACCCAGAAGCTTTATATGAGCAATTAGAAATGGATCGACAGAAGATCAAGAAGCAGCTGGCGATTCTGACAGCGAGAGAGGCGCAAGAAGAATCTATTGACACACAACTGGAGCGGTACGAGAGGTTGAGAAGTAGCTACGAGTCGCTTCTCGAGCAAATACAGCAATCCCGTCTGCAAAAACGACTTCTTGCGACCCCACTACCTGCAAAGGAAAACATGGTGCCGTCCTCCACAAACCAAGCCAAACTCCTCAAAACATATCAGCTTGGCCGAGAATTGTGTTTGGCGCAGAAAGTTCGACGTGAGGCCGTCAAGGACCTCGCTCAGCAGACCGCTGATGCGGGTGTCAGTACCAAATTTGATGTTCATCGCAAGCTTGTCGCTCTTGCAACTGGACTTAAGGAAGAAGAGTTGGACCCGATGGCTGCCGAACTAGCAGAGACCCTGGAATTCGACCGTATGAATGGCAAGGGTCCGGGGGCGGAGTCTCCGGAGCCTGAACAAAAGGGATCGGCGTCATTCCCTTTCCCTGGACCTACGGTGTCTGTGGACGCATAGGCAAGCTGGGGATGGTGCCTCTCAAGTTGTCGATTTGTATACGATGTATCATGTGATCCACGGAGTTGCGGTGCGGTGGTTGTGATCTTTCTTTTTGCCTACCTATCTCTTTCCATGTCTTTTTTTGGATATACCACTCTCTACGATTTCGAACGCGGATCCTGTGTCTTTCTTCCTTTCTACCTCTGGCAGGGGTATCTCACAGATTCTATCTTGCCAGCAGATACCCAATATTTCCTTTTGACGTTTCTCCTGCTCTGATATCATTCGCTCTTCTTCCTTCCCTCTCGATACATATGATCAATCCGATGTACCGTTGTTCTCAGCTGTCTGAAGGTTCGTGTTTGGATGCGTCAAAACAGCACACGGCAACCACCGAGTGCATGACCTGGCCGAGCATGCTGAAGCGGGTTTTTGTACATACCTACCTACATACATGATAGGCTAATAACACGTAATATCCCAAGCCGATTGCCTCTCGCCTTACAAGGTAGCTGTGTCCCGGTGGCAAGAGCCTGAGGGAGCCGGTGTTTCAATCATCTCCGACGGGTGGGCTGCAGGGCGGCTATCGTAGTCTAATCCAGACTGGCTTCTGACCGTGCTAACGATCGCTATGATCGCAGTACGGAATCCGGGAGTACACAGTACCTCCTACTACTGAGTAGTGCGGCACTCTAAGGCTGGAAGTCTGGGAGTATGAAAGGCCACTTGGGCCGATGATTGGCCCAGTGCGAACCATGCAGGCCTATCCTGCAAGCCAAATCCAGCCATTCAGGCGAGGGGGGCCGGCGGTTCTTGGACGAATCCTGCAACGGAGGCGTTTGGCTGGCGGCGAGCAAGGCCACGTTGAAGGCGCTAAGCTGGGATGATCCATCGAGGTGGGTGGCGTTAGACCAATGGGGGCCGGCGATCCTATGTTCCAGATGTATTACCTTCCCAGACGGACTGTGTCAGGCTCCGGCACTATCGAGGGAGGGACGAGACATCGGAATCGATTGGTTGGTCCAAGCGGCTGCTTCAGATTGGATCATTGGACTAGAGGCCAGAGGGCGCTTTAGTCTCTCCAGTGTCCTGCTACCGATGCTTTGACCGTTCTGGGGGATCGTGCGATATATAAGCACAGTAGTGTGAAGGTCTGAAGAGGGGACGGCATACGGGGTAGATAGTGTGAACCGTGAGTTCGAGTTGGGCAGGACTGGACGAGGTGCCTGAGTGCCTCAGGATTCACAGTCCAGAGAATGGAGGACCTATTGAGTATTATTGAGTATTGAGGACGGAGTATTGTCATAAAGCCAATCCCCGTCCAGGTCTCCACAGTCTAACCCTTACGGGCCTAGCGCAGATGAAGCGAGCCAATCAAGGGGCGACCCAACCACAGGACGCCTCAGGCTCTCAGCCCGAAGGACGTTTCTGGCCTGAGGACTCCCTTCCAGTGCTATTCTTGCCATTCGGAAGCTGCTGATGACTGCCGGCTTTGGGATTCGCAGGCCAAATCCTCAGGGAGCTTGTCATCCTCTCTCTTCTTGCCTCTCTCTCTCCGCTTGCCTCCCTCCCTCTCTCTCTCTTTTAGTTTTGGGTACCTTCTTTCCTCTCTTCATCCACTTTCTTTCTCTCTCCCATTCCCTCTTGTCTTGTTTCCTCTTCCCCTCTTCCCCTCTAGTTCTTTCTTTCTAATTTCTTCCTTCTCTTCCACTCCCCCCCCTCCCTGCCAAGCTAGCTTCTTCCATCTCATCCCGTATTCACCTCACCTTCCCCCTTTTCGTTCTTGACTCTTGTTGCTTTTTCTTTCTATTGGTATCTTTTTTTCTTCTTCACTTTTCCCCACATTTCTTCATCTACAAGGTCGTTCAGACTTTGTAGTGATAACTTTTGGATTCGGAAAAGTCATAGTCGATTTGTCTGCCGGACCGTCTAGATCGCTGGGGCTGTTCTCTGGTGCCTGACCCTGACCGTCTCAACGCCAAGACTTGGAAAGGCGCGGGTAAAAAAAAAAAGAAAAAAAGAAAAAAAAAGGAAAAAACCACGAACACGCGCCGAGAGCCGAATCGACCTAATAATCAACCATCACCGAAACTCTTCCTCCCTCTCTTCCATTTTCTCCCCACGACCGGATTGCAAATAATACCGAAAGGGAAAAATCAAAAAAGAAAAAATTAATATTAATTGAAAAAAAAAAGCAACTCCTCGTCAAGAGAGAGGACAAGGTCTATCTATCCCTTACTTCTTCTATTTTCCATCTTCGAAGCGGCTCTGCCCATTACCTTTTTTCGTCTTGAGGGTTGAAGTTAATCTTCTGCTCGAGTCGTCATTGCATCTTCATCTCAACTATCTTTTTTACGGCTAGGAGTTGCAGAGCATCTCTTACCCTCTTTTTTCCAGTCCGTCTTTAATTATCGAAAGACCTTCATCGCCTCCCTCTCGACTTCGTCGGTCCCTTTCTTGACGTCCGGTCGCGTCTGTCGCTCTATCTTTTCTTGCCTGGTTCCTTCGAACCTGTAGCGTCGCACGCTAGGCCGCCGACGACCAGGTCTATCACCTTGTTTTCCTGGATATTAATCATTCATTCGTTGTCGCTCCAACGCCTCTTTCTTCGAGCCTCTCATTTTCGGTTCTCATTCTACAGGTAGGTCGACTCGCTCTCATCGGGCAGGAGCGCACAGTGCACTAACACGGATCATCCCTGCAGGAGTCAAAAGTTGTCTTCTTTATATTCTTCATACCACGCACGATTTCACCCGCTTTTGAATAACTGTTTTCGCGCCGTGTTCTTTCTCAGCCTCGCCGTAATACTATAATACGCTTGAGTTCCCATCGTGCTTTGGATTGCCGAGATACCCGCAGTCCATCTTTTTTGGTCACCTATTGCACATACTACTTTATACTTCATTGTATCCACAACTTCTGAGTATGGACACTGGCGGTCTTGCTCAGATGACTTACAACTCGTCTTTCAATAATGGCAGCTCCCTCGGAGCCCCGGGCTCCGGCTTCGGATCTAGGAGGAAAGGCGCTAACATCAAACGATTGAGTGTGCCGCCTCCTCACATCTCGACCATCGATGAATCCCAGCCATCGGGTCCGATACCCACCCCTCGAACCAGTCGCTCACACCTTCTGGCGGGTCTGCGGACTGCTCCTAAGTCGGCTACCGTGCCTTCGGCTTCCCAACGTCAGCAGCACTTTGGAATGGAGGGTGACCGATATGGCAACCATGCGAATCGCACCGCCGAACGGGTCCCGCAGACCGCTATGGGAACTGGTTTCCCTCGCCATTCTTTCGGTATGAACCAGAACCAGCACCAGCACCAGAACCAGAACCAGGACACAAACCCAAATCGCCCCATGTACACTCTACCGGAGCAGGTGCTTGCGCCCCCAACCCTCGACATGGGCGGTGATATGCACATCGACGAAAGTCTTTACGCGGAGCTGATGTCTACGAATCTGTTCTTGGCTGCCCAGCAGCAGCGCCTGCAGCAACAGCTGGTCAGCGTGACCGCCGCGGCCCAGCAATTCCAGGGCTTGAGCCTGGGAATGCCTCTGGGAGCCCACCAGCAACAGGAGATTCCCTCGCTGTCAGTTCCGAATTTGGGATTCTACCAGCAACAACTTCAGCAGGGTGTGCAGCCCGTCGTACAGCCCGTCCTCGGCCAGCCCGGGCTGTTCTCCGTTTTCAACCCTCTCACGGGCCAACAGAACTACGTTTATGACAATTCTATCCAGCAGGATGGCTCCCCGGCCCCGTATCAGGAAGAGGAGCAGTCACCCGCTATGCAGGTCCCGACCTTCCGGGCTGAGGTTTCCCCGCCTCCAGAGTCGACTCACTCTCACGAGAGGTTCCCCCAGCCGGTGTCTCCACCGAGCTCCAGTCCTTCTCCCCCTCACGAAACCGTCCCGTTGCCGCCACCATCCGCCAATGCATTCCGCAGGGGCCACAAGAAGAGCTCGTCGTTCAACCCAGCGGCCAAAGCGCCGATCGACACGGCTCGGGCCAACGCCAACAACACCATTCCTGCTCCTAAGACCGCTACTTTGCCACAGACACCCGCCACGGGCACTTTCGGACCCGGTCAAGGACGCGCGGGTGAACACCCTATGCGCCAACCGCGTGGCCCGCCCTCGTTGGAGGAACTTGTTGCAAAGCCTACGTCGAAGCACGAAGGCAGCAAGAACTTCGCCACTCGTCAACGTCGAAGGGCCGTTCACAATTTGGTGCGTGCGGGAATTGAGCGACGAGGCGAAACCCGCAGCTACGGATGCCACAGCAGCGGCGGTACCAACACACCAGCCAGCGAGAAGGAATTCACGTTCTCCGACGGCGATGATGCCACGGTCCGCAGTGGCAGCCTCTCTAGCAAACCGAGCCTGGGCAGTTTGCGTGCTGCAGCCAACGGTGCGATTGGATCCGAGAGGAAGGAAAGATCTTCTCGGGAGCGACGATCGCAGGACAGCCCTTACAACACCCCCATCAGCGAAGATGGAGGCTTTTTTGGTGGCAAGTTTGCGGATGTTCGATCGGGTCAGGTCTCTCCCCCAGCGGGGTCACCTTCGGTTGCTGCTGTCGTCGCGGGCCAGAAGACGGTAGCTCAGGGTCCGGAAAGGCGCAAGACTCCGATGCTTGTGCTGTCCAGCGCTGAAAAGCGCAAGACCCCGATCATGTAACGCCAACCACCGTACATAATGTGACTGAGACGTAACGGATTGCAAAGCCTGGATGAATTCTTTTTTTTTTTTTTTTTTTTTCTTTCTCTTTTTGTTTACTTGACTTGGTTGACTCTTTCTTTTTCATCTCTTAACTTTCTCTGGGAACTCACGTGTATCCTTCCTTTCTATTCTTTCGTTATCCATCATGGGATGATAATTTTTTCATGTGATGGTGGGCTTGATCCTGCCAATGTTCTTTCGTTTTAACTCTTGGGTTGTCTTCGGACACATGAACTAGTCTGGCCATCAACCTTGGATGCCGACTATATTCAGTTCTCCTTGCCTGGAAACTCTCCAACTATTTCCTTGCTACACTCACTGGGACAGATTGATGAATTTGATTGGCTGAGTCCATCATTGGTATTTTCACACTTGGTCATTCCGTGGGGTGTTTATGTATGTACAATGCAGCTGGCCATGTAGTACGTGCAGATATAAAATCCCCAGAATATTGTTTATCAAACAGAGTACTATGTTCGTTACCTAGTAGCATTTCATCAACCCGTAGTAGCGCGATTCCCATGAAATAGCTGACTTGATCATAGAAAGCCATGTTTATTCTTTCTCAAATCTTCAAAATCATTCCTCCAGTAGGTACGGTATATATGCCTAGTCAATCAAATCCACCCCCCAACTCAAGCAGAAATACTCTTAATCCCCTCCTCCAACTCCTTCATATTTCCACCCACAACGCGCTTCTCCAAGGGCTGTCCATCCTTGAACAGCACGAACGTCGGCATCGCGCGCACTTGCAACTCCTGCGCGACAGAGCGCACCTTGTCCACGTCCACCTGGATAAATCGCACGTTGGGGTAGGTTTCGCTGAGTTTGCCAACGACCGGCGCGACGGCCTTGCAGGGTCCGCACCAGGTCGCGAAGAAGTCGACGACGACGGGGCCGGAGGAGGTTAGGGCTTTGAAGATGACAGGGCTGTAAAAAGACAATGAGTTAGCGTACTAGTCTAGTCTGGTTTGGGTTGTTTTGTCTGCGAGGTAGAACTATCAAGGGTTCTGGGTGTGGGGAAACCGTACTTGTCAACTTCGATGACTTTGCCGTGGGCCATGATCTTTGAGGGGAAGAAGCGGGAGCGGACGAGGCGGATGACTTGATTTATTGAGAAGATCGCGGTTAGTGACTGACTACCTAGGTATGTACTTTTGCGGGCAGATTTTGGGTTCAGGTGCCGGTGGTGGAGGGAGTCAACTTACCGATGTAGACGGCGAGAGCGAGGAGAAGACGAGAGTAGTCCATGGTGAAAAGCGTGGGAAATGGATAGATCCGGGGTGTGGGCTTGTGAGGGTCAGGACTCAGTCTCTCAGCACTAAGGCAATCCGGTGCTTATGTATGGATTACCGCATTTGGGTGCACGATTGCGACTGCTGAGTCAGTGGTGCATAAACCTGACATATGCAAGCCTATCTGGGTAAGCGGGGATATTTATCCCCAGTGATTGGTCAATTGGAGCTCCAGCATGCAAACAGGACAAACCAGATCTACCGTCGTGAATGTCAGACGCGGACCAGGCCATCTCCGATGCGATCTACTCGGACGATTCCAATTCCATTGAATACCTCCCTCCCTTCCTCACCCCCCTCCTGAATCGCAGAAAAACGAGTCAATCGAATTGACTCACAAAAAGAGAGCGAAAAAGATGCCCCCACCGAACCCGGCGCGTCTCTTCGCACCCAAAATCGCCAAACCGCGCTCCCCGAACCCATCGCGACGACAACCAGAGCACCCTCAACCTCAATCACAGTCTCAATCACAACCCTCCTTCTTCTCATCCCTCCGCACCCGCTACGCCTCCCTCCCGCCTCCCATCCGCCGCTCCTTCCGCGCCCTCCGCATCGCCGCGCCCCTCCTCCCCATCGGCCTCTTCTTCTCCGAACACATCTGCCAGATCATGTGGGTGCGCGGGCCCTCCATGACGCCGTGCCTGAACGAGGACTACGATCTGATGCACACGAAGAGCGACATGGTGCTGGTCAACATGTGGCCGTTCGGAGGCGCCGGGTTGCCGTGGCAGAGGCAGCGGAGGTTGGAGCGGGGGATGGTGGTTACATTTCGGTAGGTCCCCTCTTTGTTTCTGGTTTGATCTTGATAGACGATCAAGCAAGCATCCAATTGGTAAATCCGAGCTAATATGTCCAGCTCCCCCGCAAACCCATCGCACATCGCCATAAAGCGCATAATCGGCCTCCCAGGCGACCGAATCACAACGCGAGAACCCTGCATGAAAGAATCGCAGATTGTGCCGTTCAATCACGTCTGGTTGGAAGGCGACGCAGACGACCCGAAGCGTTCGCTGGACAGCAACACGTACGGGCCGGTCAGTATCAGTTTGATCACGGGGCGGGTGATGGCGGTGATGTGGCCGCGGTGGAGACCGATGCGGTGGACGGAGTGGGAGGAGGGCGTGGTGGATGGGAGGGAGGGATATCGGCAGGTTGTGAGGGATAGGGTGATTAAGGAGGCGGTTAAGTTGGATAGGCTGGCGTTGAGTTGAGGTCGTACCTACCTATTTACTATCTATGGCGCTATGATTGGGTGCTTGTGGATTGTACTATATGTAGATATAGATAAAGACAAAGATAGAGATAGATAGATCAATAGTTGGATTATGTACGAGTAAGATATTCATGGTATAGAAAAAGAAAAGGGGATATAAAGAGAGCGTGATTGACCCGCAAATCGATAAAAAAAGAATTAAACAAGCCGAATGTCCTCAGGCTTGTGTTCCTGCAATCGGTCAATTTCAGACGCGATACTCAACACCCAGCGATCCTTCTCGACTCGGCTGCGCGCTTTGAAGACAACCGTCCGTCCGTGTACTCCTAGCTTCGGCACCTGCTTCAGGGTCTTTCTCGTCTGGCCTCGTTTCCCTTCGATGGCCCGGAACAAGTTCTTGCGCAGCGGTTGCCAGATTACGAAGGTGATGGCGGTGTCCTCGTCGGTGCTGGTGTACACATCAGTAGAGAGATAGGCTCGGGGGAGCGTGCGGTGGCCGGGGTTGTTGCTGTCGAAGGTTTGATTGCTATATAGGAGATCGGACTCGGCCAACAAGCCCGAGTATATATAGCAGTCGGTTAGGTCGATGGTGGTTTCAATGCTGGAGTGGATGTGTGGGATTTCGACCCCGTTGCGTTTCCGCAACGAGCTGCGGAAAATCAGCAGTTTTCCGTCGGCCAAAACCACGTCTGATCGCTTGAATGTTGAGTGTCGCCGGGGCTTTTTGAAGAGCTGTCCGGACATCTTCAAGTGTGTTAGCACAGGGACTCTCCCTAATATGACGGGCTAGAACATACCTTGATCGCTCGACATCCGCAGAGAGAACACATGTTGTGCAGATGCGGAGATGCCTCGGCCTTTTTGACCTCCCACTTTTTGGCGATCAATCCGATCATCGACTCCAGTTCCGCATCGATGCCCAAAACATCGACATTTCGTCGTCGGATGTCTTTGATCTCAGCCGCATCCGCCGCGGCCCTCGTTTTCCAGTATCTCACCAGCGCGTTGAGCCGTTTGATCCAGTCATCCTTCGTGGCCACATTATACGCCTGAAGGCGGACGACAAGCCCATTGTCCATCTGCATCTCGAAGGTCCGATCGTCCTCGAACTGCTGAGTTGCTCCGTCGTCGGTGCGGGTGTCCCGTGCCTCGGGATTGAAGGGAACATCTGGTCCTTCTCGAATGTTAGGATCCGCTGGGCAACTGTCACGCCGCACATGGCGCGCTTCCACTACCCGGCGAAGATCAATATAGCCGTCTGAATTGTTGAGATTGTGATGCACACGCCGTAGTTGGGCATACGCTTCCTCGTCATGTTTCTTGATGTGTTCTTTGTTACCGTTTGTCAGCCACGTGATATTTCCATCTTCGTATGGATAGGGATCAATGTCGTATGACAAAGGCATTTCGTCCAGTATATCTTGTGTCGAAGGAATGTTGGAATCATTTCGGCACAGTCGGGGCGGAGCAGGTGGCAGCGATTTTGCTGGTCTGCAGAAAAACAAGTAGTGGTCCTGACAGAAGAAGTAGAGGCGTTTGAAGAACATCTTGTTCATCCGTTGCTGAGCACCCTTCTGCGAGGTAAGACGAACCAGAAACCCTTCCACGGGCTCCGGCTCTTCAATCTTGGTGTCTCCAACAGGAACAAAGGTATGGTAATGTTGTCTTGGCCGCAGCTCAAGTTCATGGGTGTTCTGCATTGCAAGTGATCCGTACATCTTCTCCTCGTTGATACCATATATCCACTCCAACCGATCGTATCGCTTCCAGGCAAGGCCCATTTTCTCTGTTTTCGACCACCGTTGCAGCACATCGGCCCACTCTGCGCGTTTTTCGAGCATCTCAATGCATTCGCGCACGATCGCTGTGGCAGCATACTTCTCTTCCTCCGCGCACCGGGCAAGAACTTCATTCTTTCGCGTTTTGTGACCAGCTCTGATTTGTTGTTCATCGAATGGATTCCGGAATACGAGACCCACTCCCAAGTCAGGGACGTTGATTGAAAGCGATGTAGGCCGTTGCCATCCCAGTGCCTGAAAGATTGAAGTGTACCACTCAACCGCGTGCGCTGTTGATTTGGGCCGAATAATGTAGATCTTCGTGCCATACTTGCAGGGGCCCCAGATGACGATCGACTTGTCCAATGAAGAATACAAATTGACCCGGGTTTTCTTTGGACCCAGTATTACTTCGTGATGTGGGGAAACTCGACTGCCTTTCTTCTGGATCTTCGGGATGACATGTGTCTTGTACATCTGGAGAGAGAAAGGAGCATCAGGGTCTGCAGTGGCTCGACAAACCACAAGATATTCTCGCCAATTATCCAAAACCCGCGTTTCCATTCTCATGCTATCGTGCTCTGAGAAGTCGTGCGGGAGATTGTCTTGCATAGTTTGTTCGACTCGCACAAGCATTCGCTCTGTTTTGATGATCTCGCCATCTTGCAACTTCCGCCGGTAGGGCACTTTGCTCGAAATCTTACCGCGGGTTCTCGACAGCCGGGACTGAAATCGCTGTTGTTTATCCAGGAGGTTGTCGTCCAGGTTGTATTTGGCCGCTTTATTCGAGATCTTATTGAGAGGATTTTGGGATGAATGTCGTCTTCCCTCAAGGTGCTCCTCGCCTTCGGTGCTTTCGCTCTGAGGCTCCTGCTGTTCCAGGTTCATTGATGACGGGGCTTTGGAGAGCCTCGCTTTTCCTTTCCCTTTGGCCGACGAATCGGGTCTCAGTAACGGGGTCTCAGATCCGACTTCACTTGGGAGGACCATGGGGCTTGACTGACTGGCCTCGTCCGCATTGGAATCGGGAGCACTGGGCTTTAGTAGCGGCTGTTCTTGGTCCCCTGTGCCACTAGGTCCCGCGGAGGACATCGGTTTTGTAGTAGAGGCCGAGCTAGGTCCACGTTCTCTTGCGGTCACAAAGGATGAACCGGCCTCGCCCATCCTACTCCCAGCGCCAACGTTGTTCTCACTTTTGCCGGAATCCGGGCGAGCTTGCGTGTTTGGTCCTAGGGCCGGGGGAAGTTCGTTCTCCTCATCCAGAGGATAATCCAAAGCCCGAAGAGCACCATGCCCTTGGATCGAGTCTTGGTCGGTGGTCTCATTCTCCGGGTCCAGGTCCAGGTCCAGGTCCGTCGTTTCGCCCTCCGTTGTATCGACTGGATAATCATCATCCTGCTCGCGTTGCGAATCCGACGGTTCGCCCCGATCTGGGCTGTCGGGATAATGTGCGATCTCCGGTTCAGCGGAGAAGGTAACCGTTTTCGATGAGTAGTTTTTGAAATTGAGTCTCGCTCTGTACCAGGATTTGCGGTGATTCTGCAGCCAGCCCTTGGGAATGGGGCCGATAAAGTACCTCCTACTGGTCATATGCACATGTCTGGCGGAAGCGTAGCGCTAAGCTAACGGTTAGTTTGATTGGGCTTGTTTAGAATAAAATTGGATGCAGCCCTACCAGCTTTTCTGCTGTGTAGAACCCCGGTTCCAAGCCATGGAGGTGGTGATGGTCGTAGATGTTACGGGGGTCAGTCTCCATGGTTGAATCTCGACCATGCTGATCTGGGGGAGTGGGAGTGCCCATAGCACTTCTCCGCGATCTTCAAGGCGCAGGATTGGAGCAGGTCCTAGACTAAGCCAGTCAGGAGCATGAAAGAGAAAGGGAGAGGCCGACGCTCTGACGGGAGCGGCCGATGACGTCGACAGGAGGTATGTGCTTGTTCGGTTTGCTCGGTTTGCTCGGTTTGCGCTGTTTGTTCAGGGGGGAGCGGTCCGCGGGTCCAGATCGACCTCACCGCTTGCGTGGCTCCCGGCGGTGAGCGAAGTGACAGGTCAGCCGTTGTTGATATAATGCAAGCCCCTCCTCTTCCCCCCCTCTCCTGGCTCTTTTTTATTCTACATCCCCTGCTCTTTCTTTCTCTTTATTTCTCTCTCTTCCCCTTATAGATCTCACTCGTTGAAACACACATTCAAAATGGCTACCTGGTTCGACACTATCAAGCGGTCTTTCGCCGACGTCCCCGTTGATGCTACCACCAAGGGCATCTCGACCGACGAGTTCCTCGAGGCCGCTGAGTCCTTGACCACCCTCTTCGGTGAGCTTCACACTTTCCCTGCATATGGAAGGCTTCTCGGTCTAATTGTATACAGATGTCCTCGGCTCCGTTGCCTTCACCCCCGTCAAGAACGATCTTCTCGGTAACATCAAGGTCCGAACAATTCCTGCCCCGCGTTCACGCTCGATCGACTCTAATTCCATTACAGAAAGTCCGCGAGAGGAAGGAGGCTGCCCCTGAGGAGTCCAAGACCCTCCAGGAACTCGTTATCAACGAATTGAAGACCAAGAAGCACGTTGCTGCTGAGGGTCTCGTCTGGCTCGTCCGGTATGTCGCCATTGCGTTGCTGTCCAGAATAGGGGGTTGTTCTTCGACCCGTCTCCACTTGGGTGTTTGAGATAAATATGCCACCATTCGATATGCAAATTGCTAAGTATATTATGTTCTCCATATTAGGGGTCTCGATTTCACCGCCCAGGCCCTTGCCGACAACCTCGCCAAGTCTGATGTCGAGCTGGCCGACTCCTTCCGTGGCGCCTACGGCAACACCCTGAAGCCTCACCACTCGTTCATGATCAAGCCTATCTTCTCCGCCGCTATGGGTGCCACCCCCTACCGTAAGGACTTCTACAGCAAGCTCGGCGAGGACCAGTCTATCGTCACCGAGGCCCTGAACCGTGAGGTGACTGCTTTGACGGAGCGGGTCTCCATCCTCAAGGACTTCCAGGGAACCAAGGAGGCTAAGTGGTAAACTGTTGTCGGAGAACAGCTGGAAATGCTCTCCTGATCGACAGTCTACCCGTTTTGTGTGTTTTTGAGCGTATCATGTTATCAAAGCATGTATATATGTACAGAGTACCTATACGTAGCCAATGGTACAGTGATCAAGACTTAGCAGTGGCACACCCTCCCATATCGTAACCCAACATCCGTCAATAGAGTAACAA